ATGTGCAGCACAAAAAGCCAGCCGAAATCCCTCAGGGATCCCTGGCCTACCTCGAGCAGGCGTCTGCAAACATCCCTGCACCAGTGAAGCAGACCTGAGGAAAAGCCAGCCAGAGAGTGAGCTGGTGGATGAGTCAGCCCAGACACGGTTTGCCAGACATCAGTTCTTGTAGACATGACATCTGGGGAGAGCTCTGCCAGAGAATGGGGTGATTTCAGTTTTATGCTCCCACCTAAAATTTTCCCCTATTTTTATAAGCGTTATTTCTCAAGTACTTTATAAAATATGTGTTGCTTTGGTAAAACCAAGTATATTGTTTTGTCTTTAGCAAAGTTTAGGCTGTTAAAGTGATGCCACTTACATATTCCTTTTTATGTTAATTTACCCTTCAGTGGCAGTATATAAAAATACATAAATTTGCTGTTTCAATACTTTGAACTACCTCAAGAAGAGGAATCTAATGCAACAATGTTTGTAATGCTTCCAGAGCCTCAGAATGAGGCTATTTTGTAGATAGGTTAGTGTAGTGTTACCATGCCACAGTGAGTGAGTGCTGTGGTAATCCAGTAGTACCCGTAGGTCGATGTTGACTTTTGTTCGGGCTAAGTTTATATTTGTGTAGTGTTTATTTACTTTGAGGGGAGGGGCGTGGTAGGAGCAGCGACATGCTTAATTGTGTACATTCTGTGGTAATGAGTCAATTTAAGGAACGGGGCAGACCCTGTTCTCAGTAGCATGACAGCTGGGGCACAAGTGAAGTATGAGGGTTAAAGCTGGCCGTGATCATCTCTTGAGTTTTGAGTTTTGCTTTGTGTTTTTAGAGCATAACTTTGCATTGAGGGAGGTTCTTGCTAATGAATGGTATCGATTCCAAGGGACTGGGGCCCTGGGGGTGGGAGGTGGGCTGCAGGGTGGCCTTGGGGACTTCCACGTAGAACATGTGGAGCCTCAGTGTTTGGGAAGATAGTTTACCCTCTTGTTGGTCATACAGGCCACCTCGGATTTTCTCTTGAACTGCTGTTGAAAAATACAGACCAGCATTGTGTCTGGCCCTCATTGGATGTTTACAATCTCTGCTGTTTCTCTGCTGTTTCTCTTTCTCTGCTGTTTACAATCTCTTATTAGATTACATCCCTTCACCCTGAACTAGAACTCCACTGTCTTCTGAACAGGCCATAGTTCTGTGACTCGATGTCTTGGCTCCCTTTATTTTCTCCAGCTTTGGAGGCCCCTCCCCACACGCCTTGACATCCACTCGAGTTCCCATCTGGCCTGGACGTCACGGAGTCTGCAGCCTCCAAAGGCCTCTGCATTGCGTGCCCAGGGCGCAGGGCTTCTTGTCCTTTTACCAGCCTTGCTTGGCTCTCCCTCTGGGGCTAGTGATTGTATCTGCCTCTGGTCCTCTTGAGAAGTAGGCATTATTCCCATCTGAATATACGGGGGGGTTATTTATCTCTTATGCATGATACTTATCACTCATTTGTGTGTGTGTGTGTGTGTGCTATGGTACACAGCCTGAAGCCAACAAACCCCTTCATTCAGAATGTTACAGTTTAAACAAAGCTTTTAAAAGTTGTTTTTAATCACATTAATATTTGAAAGTTGTTAATTTGGTCATCTCATGCCAATCAGAAGCTCTGATTGGCAGCTTTGGGTTTCTTGATTCAAAACCTAAACTAAACTGAGTTTTAGGCATCCTTTCAATAGTGAAGAGGTTCTTGATAAAAAGTTGGGGAACTGTTCTATTTGATGCTTAGTAAAAATATTTTGAACTAATGTATGTACCAGTTACTGCTATTTACTTACTAAATTCAAGAGTTTTCTATCAAGTAAATAACTATTTCAATCCTGTCTATAAATATCTTTTTCCTTTTTAGTGCCATCTTGCTGGTTGGTGAACATAGAAAACCCTCTGGGCTGCTGTCTCCTTCAAGGAGAAAATAAACTAGCCATCAGCTGGGACTGCCCTTGCCTTCCCTCTGGGAGTGAGACACCCCACATCTGCAGGGCATCTTACTTCCCCTTCCTGTTCCATCTGCTGAAGTGCTTACTCTGTATAAGGCCAACCTTCCTGCAAGTGACCTGGGTCTAGGCCAGTTGCCTTCTCTAGGGCTTAACCCCCTGGGGATCTTTGCTCCCCGCGTCACAGTCTGCAGGTCACTCCCTACAGTCGACAAGCATTCTTGACCCCTGGTTTTCAGCGTTTCCTGCGATGTTCCTGGCCCCTCATTCACAGTCTCCGGCTCCCCTGCTCCCCTCCCCTCCCCCTCCAGGCTTGTGATGTGTGACTCCACGGCTACGACTGCTTGTGACAGTTACAGCCCCTTTGCTGTGACACTTCATCATCTTTATTGGAACTCATTCTCTTTAACACATCTTCCCTTTTCTCCTTCCTCTTCTGCCCAACCTCCAAATGTTGACATTCCTGAGGGTTTGGTCCGGGGTTTCTGGAGGCCATGACAAGACCCCTGCTTGGTTCTCCCTTGGAGAGAGACACCGCGGGGAGCGCATTTACCCAAAGCTCCTGCCTTGGGGGATCCGCCGCAGCGTTTTCACGGAGGCCGTGCTCTCCCTGGGTGTGACCCAGCACAGTCTTCCCGAATCTTCCTCGGCCCTCTTCACAGGTGTCAACTGTGCATCCAAGTCTGAAGGCTCTTCCTCCTCTGCTTCCTCCCTTTATTCCAAACAGGTGTTTCCCCTGAGAAGGGGGCAACCTGTCCTTGACATTGGACGCTGACCTGGTGCTGCTGTGGCATGTTACTTTGAATAACCATAAAGTGTCTCGGGATACCAACCTCATAGGCAAAGTTGCTCCAAGACCATGATAAAGGGAGAGAAAACAAAACCACTTCACAATTTTGTTTAAGCACAGGAAAAAAACAAGGTCACTCTGCCACCTCCAGACATCAGACATCCTCCTGGCTAAAATGAGTGACTGACCCCTCCCCCTTTCTTTCCTTTTTAAATGACCATTTACAGCTTTATGTCTGGTCTGCCCTCCCTACAGATAAGACTTAAGAAACCCAGTCATAGAATTGCTTCTGCTCTCTGACAGCATCTGATCTAGCATGACTCTCCCTTCTTTACACTCTGCTTGAGATCACCTGATCCATGCCGAAATCTTACAGTAGGTTCTAACACCCTCTTCCCGAGGAGCCCCACCATGCTTGATAATGAACACTCTCCCCTTCTCTCTCCAGCAAGTAATAAACCCAACTTGTTTAACTCCAGGGGGGTTTCTGGTGCTTTCTGCATCTCTAACTTGGGGTGTGCCTCCTGGAGGACCCTACACGCTGCTATGGACGTGGTCTGAGACCAGGCAGTGAGATGGGGTTTGGAGACTGGCTCGCTCACTCTCCAGCTGGCAAGTAGGACCCATCCGAGTGGTATGTGAGAGAGTCATCAACACAAGGAGATGGTCCAGTTACTGAAGAGTACACCAGTGGTGCCCTGGAAAAGTGTCCCCGTGAAAGGGACTTTGTCAGCGCATGGCTTCAAACACTTGGAAGGTAAGGGGGAGTATTGCGTACAAGATGGCTGGTTATCACTGCCCTGTCTTGACTCAGCAGAGGGACAAAATAACTGTTTAATGGCAAAGGCTGCTGTGAGTGCCTAGGGCATCGCTGGTTTTCTCCTGCAGGTGGAGAACAGATAGCTGAGGAGCCGGAGGTAGCAGATCAAAACCAGTACTGCATTCTGGGGATGGTGGTGAAGATGGTTGCTACCCTTGGAAGTCTAAAGGACGCTAGGAAGGCATCCCTGTCATAGCCCCACTTAATTTCCCAGCCTGGCCCTTGCAGAACCCAGGCAGGTGCTGGAGAGTGAGTATATACCAAGTAGCCTTGATCACAACTGTGGTGTTGGATGCGGTACTGACATTGGAGCAGTCAGAAAGGGCTCAGGTGTGTGGTGTGCAGCCTTGTGGGCAAATTCATTCTCTTCTACCCTAATTAAGAAACAATTTGCAGCAGTGTTCCTTTCCAGTTTTGCTCCGGGAATATGTTAACTCTTCCTCCCTCTGTCAATTTAATAGACACCCTGAATAGATTTATCGTCAAATCCTATTGTTTCTCCCTCCTAAATCCTGAATCAGTTCACATCTCTTCATCTGTACTGCTACCTCTAAGCCATCCCCGTCATCTCTAGACCACTCTGCTCTTGAGAGATTGACGGAATCAGATTATGCAAAAGAAAACAAGAATATTTTATCAAGTTAAGTTTCCTTGTCAATATTACCTACGGTGCAGAGAAGTAGAATTTCATGCACTGCTGGTGAAGGTGTGAATTGCTAGGATCTTTCTGGTGATTTGGCGGTATCACACAGAAGACCTAGGCATGTATCCTTTGATGCTTTACTTCAGTACTCAAGGAGTATGTCTTAAAGACAAAGTGGTAGAAGCATGCCAGGTTTAGTTAGCAAAGATACAATTATTTGGGTATAATCTGGAAATTTAACATCTCTCACCTGCAGCAAGAAAGAAGTCAAAACAGATGTGGGTCTCAACAAAATTCTATCCCTGCAGCAGGCATTACGCTGACTTAAAGGACAGCAGTATAAAGTGCAGCCTGCTTTGTTAGTCATCAGGAGTTGCACAGTGATGGGAAATATTTCAATAAACAAAAACAGAACTGCCTATTTAAAACACAAAACACAGACATAATCTTACATTGTTCACCCTAAGCAGGAAACAAAAGACACCTAAAAAAAGATACTTGATACTGGAAAAGAACATGGCATGTAACACGGATAGTAACAATGATTTGCATTTTAAAAATTATTGGACCATGAGTTTTGATTGGGTAGTAAATTTGCCTTTAAATTGGGAGTTTGAGTTGTAGTTGCATTTCTCTCAAAATGGCATAGTGCGTGAGCAGCTATGTTTTATTGAAGATGATCTGACTGAGGTTAATGTGAACTTCCTATTTCCAAGTTCAGTCTTCATCTGATTTCACCCTTCTTTAGAAAATCAATACAAGTCACAACCATTTTTATTGCCCAGTTGTTTAAAGTTTTATTCAAAGAGCAAAGATTTGACAGTGCATAGGATAAATAGTTGTTTATGGGCCACCTGCTGGGCCAGCACCAAAGAATTAACATATTTTTCTCACTAGAAGTTGTATTGAGTCTTGTCAAATCACACTGCTCTGTCAGAGGGTCAGACGGCTCAGTGTGGACTGCAGCGAGGTCACGCCCAGTTCTCTTTGACCTGCTGAGCACCCATGCAGTGGGGAAGTCACGCACCAGGGGGCAAGACTAGAGATTCAGTAGAGCTTTGACTTCAAAGAACAGATAATCTAGAATCCTTCACAAATGACCAAGTCGATGCTACAGTCTTTGAAACGGAGATGTATGACAGGGCAAAGCTCGGTTATTCACAGAAAAATCCTGGCAAAGCTTAATTGCAATTCACGATTGGTAGCGTCACCCATATTATTTTACTTTGCTTCAGAAAGCCCCCTTTGAGGTAGGTGTTATGCCCTCTGTAATCTACTTGTCCTGGACCTAGGAAGACAAAACACTTGATTCAGGTATGCCAGGGTCTGCTACAGTCCATTCTCAGTAGTTTCTTTGTTTGTTTTTTTTTAAATTGGCTTTCCTGGTTATTTTTGACCTTTGTTTTATTCCTCTGCCTATTGAGGTTAGATGTACACTTTGGAATTGTATCATTTCCATAGGAGCACTTTTCAAGTGAAGATGCCCAGCATCCTAGGAAAAATGAATCACTTTAAAAGTAGACCCTGGATATCACAGAGTCTGCTGTTCCACAAGGCGGAGTGCAATCTATGGACACTGGATATATTACATGTAGGTCATCAGTAACGTTAACAGCGTTTTCCTGTGGGAGCTAATCTGGTAACACTGGCTTGTTTAACTTAATGTCACAATGAAACAGTATGAAATGTTAATGCAAGAATTTGTTCTAGCCATACATGTAAATCATACACAAGCAAGTTATTTGGTTGACTGGTTTTCTGGTTCATTCCCTCATTCAGATGTTTCAAAAGAAATGTTATTCAAATGTCCTCTTTGTGATGTATCCCAAGGATCAGTTTAGAAAGAAAAATATTTGGTAAACCATTCCTGGTGGGCAGAGCCCTGTTTCTGCTGGATTTCTTTGGGCTGGGCTGTTTCATCATCTTGTGTCCTGAAAACAAACAAACAAATAAAAAGTTTTCTTACATGGTTTTGAAAATTATTCAGTAAATAACTTAATACCCCAGCCACCTTTTCAGGAGAGGATGACTATTTCTTTACTCTTCAAAAGATACTAGAATGTGGTGGGCCGAAGGCCAAGGTTCGTAGCTAGAAACAAGCTGTGAAGGAGTGGGGTGGGGGTGGGGGGGCAGCATCTGTTTTGAAAACAGGGTTCTCCATCGTGTCACTTAACACTAATGAGGCATATTTTGCAACATTCGCTATTTAAAACAATGTGAAGACAGCCTTAAACAGAGGTGTCCGAGAATGAGATGGACCCATGGCCAGGGTCAGGCACCGGCTCTGGCAGTTCACAGACTGCTTGGGGCTTCCAGGCTCCCGTGTCCTCAGCTGTGAAACACAGGGCTGGACCTCGTCAACGACTGACAGGGGGTCCTTCCAGCTCAACACTCGTATTTGTCCAAATAGCCTTGGGCAGGCCCATGTTCCTTGGAAAAGGAACACTTCAGAAGGAGCCCTTTCTGAAATGCAAATTTCAAAGCCCAGAATTAAAGGTTATGCTCTGACTGGAAGGCTAAATAGGAAGAATTAATAAAGGGGGAAAAGCACACATTTCTGGAAAGGAAGCATGCTACAAGGGTTTCTGGGAATATAAGGCAGTATCAGAGATCTCATGAGCAACCAAACCCACAGATTAAGAGGCCTTAAAATTGCAGGAGTATACACCGTGTCTTGAGAAATAACCCTAACAGTGGAAATACATTGAACGCTTCTGTGTCAGGTCTTGTGCTAAGCATGTCCTATGGATTAATTCCTTTAATGTCACATCAGTCTGATGAGGTAGCTGCTGTATTTTCATTTTAGAGGTGAGGAGACAGACTTAGAGAGGTCAAGTGAGCTGCCCAAAGCCATACAGCTAAGAATGAGGAGGACCAGAATTTGAATCTAGACTCAAGGCCAGATGATGAGAGTCCACTTCAACGTGACCCACCCAGAGGTGGTCAGCTAAGTAGTGATTCAGAGTCCCCTATCTAATCATCCATTAACAACAACAACAAAAAAGGCTTTCTGGAATTTGGTATCAGGAATAGTAAGTACCTTTTCTAAAGAATGACCTATTTCCCATCTCTTACATAGTCCTCCTCTTTGGCTGGATTGTAATTTGTCCAAGGCAGGGCTTGTTTTGTTACTCTTCTATCTGCCCCACGTGCTGGGCATTTAACAGGTGCCGGAAAGGAACTCTGGTTTCCTCCTGTCTGTGGAAAAATGGAACCACAGCTTTGGCCCCTACCTTGTGGCAGTTTTCACATCTGGAGATGGGGTGGGTTTGTAGGGTCGGCCGCAGCTGGGGCCTGGGTCCAAGCTGGGCGACTTAGTTATCGGAGGGGCATGGATCCTGGAGCTCAGGTCGCCACTCAGGAAGTTCTTGGCATAGGAGGCAAGGTTTGGCACGCTGACCACTCGGCTGGGCACTTCCTCCACCTTCTTTTTCTGTTTGTAGGATGAGAAAGGCCTGTAAGTGCCACCCAAAAGAGGCATTATTGTAAAGTAAAGTAGATAAGGCCTGCCCAGCCAAGACTATATGAGCAAGGAAGCAATACTTTCATTTATATGCGTACATGTCATTTTTGAAAGCATCTTCTCCTCCAGTCTACTTTGTGTTTTAAAAAACACATAGGTTCACAACCTCTTATCCAAAACTTCTGAAGACAAATGTGTTTTAATTTAAACTCTTGTCTTAGATTTGAAAAGGTCATATAACACACCCTGCAGAAGCTGGGCCCACCTTGTCCTCAAACACATTAATGCTTCTGGAGTGAAACTTGCATTCGGTCACACTAAGAGGGAGATATAAAAGTTATAAATGAACTCACATGAATTCAGCTTGGGGTTATAGTCTTATGAGTTATTTAAAAAATACACATTTTTTTTAGCACTTTTAGGATTCTGTGATAGCAGATGAGAGATCTGGATGTGAATTTTCTCACTGTAATAAATTCCAAAAATATAAAAGGAAAAGAAGCGAAGGATTCCTGCTCTTCCCTCTCCTTCCTATCACCAGTTATAGCCATTATTAATAGTGACACATTTATTTATTAAAACGTTGGAAAATACAAAAACTCCATAAAACTTAAAAATACACACAATCTGCCTAGACAGATATAAATGCTGTTTGTTAATAATTTGGACTACTTCCTGTGGGTCTTACTTTCAATGAGTATTCCTCTAAATGTATGCCAGCCTGTTGATAAATAAGCTGCCATTGCCTTCGGGAAAAACGAAACCAGCAGAACTGTGTAATGCCTTGCAACCTTTGAACTAATTTACCTTCATGGAAGGGGTCAGATACCCGGGGTGAGGATTGAAAGAGAAGGACCGATTCCGATGGGACATTGCACTGGGGAACGCTGCGTAGTGAAATCTTCTCTCCTCCTGCAAAAACAATCGAGCTGAATCTCAATGAGCCTGACTGCACAGCACTGGGTTTGACCTGAAGGAAGACGGCTGCGTGAGGGCGGAACACGGAGCACAGGAAAGCCCGAGGGAGGGAGGGGAAGCCAGCGGGAATCAAGCTGCCACCCACTGAAGCTGTGAGGAAGCAGCTTTATTTCTGGGGCCTTGTGTCCCCAGTGCCTCTTGTAAAGCAAAGGGCAGGCTTGTTTGGAATGCCTTAGGGAATTCAGAGATGCAGGTCGTCTTGGGATCTGACAAGAGTCTACTGCAGAAAGTCATTAGTTAAGGCAAAGAAGGAAAGCAGCCAGGTATAGTCTGTATGTGGCCAGTCTCGTGTTTGCATGCCATTCTCCACTTTTTTCTTTCCTGCTGTATTTTTTGGGGGGGTTGGGGGAGGTAATTAGGTTTATTTATTTATTTTTAGAGGAGGTACTAGGGGTTGAACCCAGGACCTCATGCATGCTAAGCACGGGCTCTACCACTTGAGCAACCCCCTCCCCCATATTGTTTTATAGCAAATTCCAGTCATTGTGTAACATGTGTAAAAACATTGGTAAGTATTTCTAAGAGATAAGGACTCTTTTTAAAAAAAAATAACTACAACACCTTTGTTATACTTAGCAAACAAGCAATTCCTTATTAGTATTATCTAATTTTCAGTTAGTGGTTGAGTTTTCCTGATCATCTTGACATGAAACAGCATGACAGGAGCAGGAGGGTGGGAGGACAGACGTGAGACGTATGTATGTGTGTGTGTGTGTGTGTGTTGTGGGAGCATGTGAAGCTGTGCAAACCACTGTAAGACCATGGATTTTATTCTGAGAAAGATGGGAAGCCACAGGAGGTGCTAAACAGAGCCGTGCTGTGACCTGACTTACAGTTTTGTAAGAGCACTTTGGTTGCTGTGAGGTGAGCATGGTCGGGTAAGGGTGGAGTGAGTGGGGAGACCAACAGACTCTCCATGATGCACCTGAGAGGCAGTGGGACTTGGACCAACATGGAGATGAAGGTAGAGATGAAGGTACAGAGTGAAGGCAGAGATGGCGGGAAGTGGCTGGACTAGCTGTCCTGCCGTGGGCCACAGGGACAGGAGTGAGTCTATCACCCGGTGTCCCCAGAGCTGAATGTAAGCCACTGGGAGCTGGCTTACAAAGAACTCTCAGCCAAAGCATGAAGCACAGGGAGGCCGGACCAGAGCCTCAAACAGCGGTCGAAGTGTGCGGAGACACGGGGGTGAGGTGCGAGCCAGTCTTGATTTCCCCAAGTTCTGTTGGTTAAAAAAACCAAACCAATATCAACATCAGGGGCTTAGGAGTAGAGTGATTTTTTTTCCTTCTGTTTTCCTGTTTTAATTTTGTTAGTGAATATTATTTTTTTTCATGTAATAGAAAACAACAAAGGATGTTTTGTAAGGGGGCTTTACGGTTATCAGAATGCAAGTCCCAGGCACTCAGAGGAGAGCCAGGCTAAAGCGAACGTCCGCCAGCCTCACCGTGAGCTGCCTGATGACCTCCTCTCTCTCCTTCAAGCGGGTCCGCAGACGGCCTATGAGCTGAACGTCCTCTGGCCTGGACGCCCCCTTCCCTGGCTTCTCTCCGGAGTCTTTCGGTCTGTTTCAAGCAGGCGTGTAGTTAGGCCCCAGGCCACAATTATTGAACCGCGAGGAGGGAGAAGACGAGGATGCTGCTGTGCGCTTGGCCCCGCCACCCACTCTGTTCACGAGCGTGCAAACGGAGGCCCAGAGAGCTTGTCCAGGGCTACCCGGTGAGATGGTTTCAGAGCTCCAACTGGAGCCCAGGACCCCACCTCCCAGTCTGATTTTGTCAGTTCCCCTAGGGCTGCAGGGCCCAGGTGAGCACACAAATGCCCCATTCAGTGGGGCTTCAAGAACCAGGGAGGTTTGGGAGAAGAAGCCAATGCGGGAAACTAAATTTCCCCACACCCACCAAGGCCAGCAGGTTATGTTAATAAAGATGTGGCTCCCACGCCATCTGCTGGCGGCCAGAGAGCATGGCATGAGCTTATTCTGCAGAGCAGAGGGGCAGTGGTACCCACCACAGCCCTTACAGCAACGTGAAGCTGGAGAGAAATAACTCTCCAGTCAGTGGGTCAGTGCGGGAGAGAGAGGGCGAGGGCTGCGGGTGATTACTGACTGTAGTTGGTGAGATGAATTGGGCTCTAATCCCAGTTCTGCTTTTTTCTAGCTGAGTAAATTTGGGCATAGCATTTTGCCCATGAGCGCCTCAGCTCGTCCTTTAAAATGAGTGTGATACTGGGTGCTATGAGGACTCAGTGAGATAATGCATTTCTGGCACCTGGTAAGTACCCATTAGATGGCAGCTGGTAAACCTTCCACCCTGTATTTTGCATGATTTGCTCTGTACTAGAGACAGTGGGACAGTTTTTAAGAGCACAAGTTAAGGGTCAGACAGGTGACATTTAAATTTACTTAGTGCTGCTTGACCTAGTCTCCCTGTCACTGACCCTGATCTCCCAGTCTCTTCTCCTCTCAGCAGCCAGAAGTGACCCTGTTAGAAGGTAAATTAGACCACGTCACTCGTGCTCAAAGCCTTGTACACCCAAACATCTTCCTGTTCAGTGCAGCATTCTCTTCATCCCTCCCAGCTACCCCACCAACCCCAATTCCTACCACTCACTCTCGCACTCATTCCACTTCAGCCTTGTGGCTGTTTGGTCTCGTGAAGCAGGCCCCAGGGCCTTTGCACTTGCTGTTCTGGCTGCTTGGAATGCTCTTACTCCAGATGGTTCCCTTCACTTCTCACCTCTTCATGCTCAAATGTCACCTACTTGCCCACCCTTGGCTCTCTCTAGACACTGGTCCTGCTTTCCTTGTAGCACTTTCACTGCCTGATATGCAGTTAAATATTTGTTTGCTGGTTTGTCAGAATCTCCACCTAGAATTTGTGAGCACTATGAGAGCACAGTCTTTGTTTTATTCCCGATTGTAACCCCAGAGTCTAAAACAGTGCAAGGAACACAGTAGGTCCTTAATAAATATTTGTTGAATGAATAAATGAATGCATGCAAAAATGAATGAGGGGCCCTTGATTTCTTTATCTATCCATGGGAATAACTGTTTTCTCCCTGAAGAACCACTGTGAAGATTAAATGAGATGATGCATATCAGAAGAGGAAAATGCTCATTAAAAAAAAAGCCTCAATCCTTCTAATTTCTTCCAAGTGTGAGGGTCAAACCGAACCCATGAGTCAGTGCTCATTTCTCAGATTCCCATTGCCCTGCACAAGAGGGAAATGTGGTCTCATAAAAGGACAGGTGATCAACCATTCCAGTTTGCCTGGGACTGAGGCGCTCTCCGGAGCTCAGGACTTTTTGTTTTAAAACTGGGAGAGTCCTGGGGACAGTGAGATGAGTTGGTCTCCCTAATAAAAGGGTACGGCCACTAGTCCCTCCCACCCTGGCGCCAAGGCCTCACTTACTCAGTTTCCAGGGCAGCCAGCCGGGCCTGGAGCCTGGCCTGAGCGCTGCTGAAATCCGCCACCATGGCCTGCATCTCCTTCCGGTGTTCCTGGCGTAGCAGCTCCACCTCCCGGGCCCGCTGGGCCTGCTGATCCTCCTCCAGCCGCCTGCGGGGGTTGGGGGGGGATGGAAGCACACCTGGGCTTGCCCAGGCTCTAGGGATGGACCCTCTC